TTCGCCTTCATGACTTATAGCGTCATCTTTTTTTATAATAATCTAGGTATGTCTGGTCTAACATGTTAATGTGCAGTCGTATGTGAAGAACTCGCCAGTGTATGACTTCAGTGGTATCGAAATAACACCAGTAGAGTACCATAGAGTGTTGTATTTATATTTTATTCCATTTCGAATTAAAATTTTACATAATCAAACATATCAAAGTTAGTTCGAGTTTATTGCCTATTTAGTCTTTATACGAAATGTACACCTTATTAGATATGAATGCAAGAACTGTATTAATATCTGACGTTGGTGGTGATAATTATAGATTTACTACTGTCTATTTGTGTCAGATTGGTTTGACAAGCCACAAAGTTCATGTGCAAAGCACACAGATGTACATTGAAAGCGTCTTGCTGATGTGACTATTTAACCTACACATTGTAAATGGTAGATGTGGGCATGTCAAAGGTTTAAGAGATTGTACATACACTGGACACAATTGTTGTAGCGTCATAGACTATGTTATTGTATCTAGGTCATTATTCGATAAGAGGTCATTTCAAATGTTACCGTAAAGTTACCTTGAATTTATTTGAAGATGTTTACGTTCCAAATGCTGGCAAATATGTTGGTGTAAACAAGTACAAATATGCGTGGAATGAAGGTTTCAGATAACGCAGAACAGTTCTATGGTTGCTGTAAGTACAGATCGACTTAAGGTTGCTGTTGGCTAATGATGTTCAAGTCTGCTGAAGGTATGAGAATAAAGGTGCGGTGCAGCATACCACAGAAATGGGTTGAAAGTAGATACGAACTGCACAAGAGAGAAATATATATAGAAATCTCAATGTATCTCAATGTATCTCAAACTGGAATATATGTAAGATGTCAAAACAGCATTATGAATATGAAGAACAAGACGGATCTTCTTAAGTCTGTTGACGACGATGCCAAATTGTTCTGGAAGAAGCTTAGGATCTTATCAGGAAAAGGCCAGGTTCAACATAATGCTTGTAAAGTATAGATATTTTAAAGATCTTTTCAAAAGCGATGTCTTATATATCGTAGACAAAATTGATACAGTTACAGATGTAGGAGTACTTAATGTCAGAGCTAATGTATCGGACAAAGGTTGTCCTGCTGGCGCTACTGGTGACAAAATAATACCCCTATTCATGACGATAAAACATGGACTGGTATCAACAAGATACCAGGTAACAAAGGAGCTGGTAAATCAACTGATTTAATCATCGAGCAGCATAGAATTCCCATATTCGGAAATACTTTTCAATAAAATGTATAATGAAGCCATATCCCCAGTTGTAGACCAAAACATTCATTGTAGCCTTTATGGAAGTTGCCCGCATCGTTGCGTTCGTGTTGGTTAATAATATTGTTACTGATGCTCTTGAATGTTGAACAAGGTTATATCCGTTAGTATCTCACTTGTTATAATGACATTGACCTATTTCCAAGCATTTTAGAAAAAGAAGATTCTCTTTTTGGCAAACAAGAGAGTTCGTTATTATATCTTTTTTTTAAATAGTGTTTGTTTGTTTGTTGTTTAACGCCCCTCTCAGCAGTATCCCAGCCATATGACGGCGGTCTGTAAATGAGTGAGAGGGTTTTGGCTTTACGCCGCTTTTAGCAATATTCCAGCAATATCACGGCGAATTGGGCTTCATACATTGTACCCATGTCGGGAATCGAACCCGGGTATTCGGCATGACGAGCGAACGCTTTAACCACTTGGCTACCCGACCGCCCCGGTCTGTAAATAATTTAATATGGACCAGACAATCCAGTGATTGACATCATCAGCATCGATCTACGCAATTGGGATACGATGACATGCATTAACCAAGTCAGCGAGCCTGACCACCCGATCCCGTTTGTCACCTCTTCTGACAAGCATGGTTTGCTAAAGACCAATTCTAAACCGGAATCTGAGATACAAAAACGGGATATTAAAAAAGCCATAAAATTTACTTTTACTTTGTGGAGGTCATTGGAGTATGAACCTTCAATGAGTGAGGGCCAAACTGTATTCTATGAAGGCTTATTTCAGAATTGACTTTCACTTTATGTGTGTTCATTTAACTATGAATTCACACAAAGTGAAAGTCAATTCTTATGATTTTTTGTATTACTATTTCATACCTCGATTGTTGATGTAATGCTTGATCGGTACGTGTGACTTCATGTTTACACTGACAGCCATACAACAACCATGTGCATCATGGAAAAAAATAGTTCCATAAAGAAGAGAGGTGACGTGAGCGTATGTATGCACAACAAGAACATCTGTTGTACTCTACAAAAATGTATTCAAATAATATCATCATTGGGTGAGATAGGTCTGTTAAGAACTACCTCCGTTAGTCAGCCACAATGACAACGCGCCGTAATATATTTACATGAAGTACAAGACGTCAGAATGGCCGACACGATAAACGATAAACATTTCCGAAGGTAATGAATCTGTGGCGGTTATATGTGTTAGTCATCATTGATCAGTTGGTAGACCTTTGAAAGGTGATTATAAAGATGTGTCAAATTGATACTAAGGTTAATACATAGATTGCTGTGGACAGTCTAGACACTGATCGAGTCGAGACTACGATAGTGGATGAGTATTTCTTCGTTTTGTTATCTAGGATTGGTTGTAGCGAGGATATCCTTGAACGGGCATGCAATCAAATTCTGTCTGATCCCAATCCCAACTACAACGCTAAGTTCAAGATTAAAGGGTCTAAATAATGAGAAACAACGCTTCTGTATGTAACCCAGGGGTTCCCCAAGGAATGTGGAAGTTGTACGTCAGTGTTTTCGTCATTTCGAGAATACGGTCTCGTGAAAAACGATGAACGTCAAATTGTGTCTTTCAAACGCCCATGAACGTCAGATTCGCGGTCATGTGACCTGCCCCTCTTCCAATTGAAAAGCTGTGTATCGCGTAAACTTCAAATAAAAAAAAATATATATATTTCAATGACCCTACACAAGGTGAAAGTCAATTCGTAAGAAACGCTAACGTTATGATCACAGTCACTTTTGCGTTATGAGTAAATTTGTAATATGGTGAATGCTTCTGTCGGTTATCCACTGCAGGATACATAGAACCTTCCTTCAACAATTACCGCTGGTCTCTGGCCTCGGAGGTATCGAATTTGAATGGTTGCCTTCTCCTTAATGGTTTGATGAGGTTTAATGGGGAGGTCAGGATGAGCTCGCACCGGCTCCGCGGCGGCACGACGTGCATTGCGCCCCCTCCTTCTACTACACTGGCTGCAAGCATCATGCCGTCAATCTGAGATTTTTAACTATATCTATAAGAAATCCCTGCTCAAAGCAGAATCCATTGTACGATTCGTACTGTGTACACTCGTGCTGAATAGTAGGGTCAGACGTTATATCGTCCGATCACTGCACAGAGGGAATTGAAGCACAAGGGGTAAATGCGGATAAATAATTTGTTTAGTTTGGTGTACTAGAAATATTTTTGATTTTATTTTGGTATTATATTTATTTGATGTACGCATACTGAAACACAATGTGTATCAATTTACACGGAATGGTTACACAACAAATTAAGGTAGGGAGAGAGCAACGAAGCAAGTACATCTTACTTTTGTCTTGCCAACATCAATACAAAATTAATACCCAAAGTGAATTGGTCATGTCTGCATGGATTGGGGTTGATTTGTGTGGAAAGAAAGAGGCACTGCAGACATCTGGTGACAAGATGGAAACATCGCAAAACCACAACCACGTGAGAGCCTGGTGCCGAAAAACACCAACATGACATGCACGTGCAACATCAGGCTATAAAAAACATTGGATTTCATTTGCATGCCATCACAATCTTACAGCAAGTGAACAGCGAAAACATGCCACGACCATTACAAGACTGTGGAACCGTTATGAGACACACTGGACTAAACCTGGCCTTCCCAGATCCGGTCGACCACGTATCACCACTGGAGCACAGGACAAATTTATACGGCAACGTAACTTCCATGAAAGAACCACCACGGCCACCTCTACAACTAAGGCAATACCAGGATTATGTAGGAAATCAGCCCAAACAGTGAGGAACCGTTTACGAGCAAGACGACCACTTCGAGGTGCCATTTTTTCACGGACTTGCATCGACGACTGCGACGTGAATTGTGTTTCTATGGTCGTAATATATAGTAGTACATGTACTCGTTATTTGTGGGTTTGATGGTGGTCTTTAATTGTTTTACGTTCACAATACCCAAACTGTGGAAAACAATAGAATATGAACCATTGAGCCTATTCCATCTTTTCTAACACACCGTTGCTCTATAACAAAGGGACCCGTGAAGATCCGGGGTAGAATAGGTCTTCATCAACCCATGCTTGCCGTAAAAGGCGACTATGCTTGTCGTAAGAGGCGACTAACGGGATCGGGTTGTCAGGCTCGCTGACTTGGCTGATGCATTTCATCGATCAAAATTGCTTGGATCAGTGCTCATGGTATCAATCAATGGATTGTCTGGTCCAGACTCGATTATTTACAGACAGCCGTCATATGGCTGGAATATTGCTGAGTGCGGCGTTAAACAACCAACCAACCAACCAACCCACGTTATAACAAATGTGTGCGGACACAGTGATTTTATGAAAAACTCTCTGACTTTTGGATGTAAAAATTAAGTTTGGTTCTTGTAACAAGGACCGAAGAATTACCTCCCCTAGACTATTCACTCGCAACACTCCCCTGCAACCTCAGATTATTGTTTAACGCCGCGCTCAATACCCCAGCTATGTTTATCTATATTTCAGTTTTGTTACAGTTTACCAGCTCGTTTTGGAACGATTGCACGAGGCGACACGCGGTGTCAATGTTAAACGTGCAGGTATTGGTGCTGACACACCATGCAAGAACGCATCTTGGGAAATCTTGTATTCTACTCAATCAATAGTCTTCACCCCCTCTCCTGTCAGTGTTAAAGAAAGCTGATATAAATGACAACAACAACCTCTGCGGAACACTTGCTTTATTTAGCTGACAGCGATCGCCACATTAACACATTCCCGTATACAGTGGGGCTTATGTTGCCGTGATTAAACCATTATTGCCCTTCTGATCCAGGAATTCACTGGCCATTATGAACGTGCATTATATCAGGTAACCCATACGTAACTGTCATTATGAAAAATATAGGAGAAATTATTTATTAAATCACCTGGTTTAAGCCGGCGAAATCACTCAAATCTGTTGATTCCCGAGGCTCGTTATTTCTACTTCCGAAATCAACAGATTTGAGTGTTTTCTCCATTAAAATACAAAATATTCCTTTTTGCAAAGACGTTTAGTAGGTATCAACCATATCCTCTTTAAATGTTAGCATCCTCCGTTAAGCCTTCGTTTTTAGTTATCAATCGCTTCGTATCAGCGTTCAACATAGTATTAGTGTCATATGCTGCCTATACATAACAATTCTGCCAATTTACCTGTGAATAACCAGGTACATATGTAGAAAGAAAAGTAACCATGACACATTGTCACTTTGTACAACAAACATTGGATGTGTGCTTTAAGTGAGAACAACACTCTATGACGTATGATATCGGGGTATAAATTAAGGCAGCGGCACATTCTGTCTGACTTCGCCTAAGAGTATTAAGTTTCCAATTTATTTTCCGTCCCATAATGTCTATCTATACCATGGTCTGAAACCATGTTAGTATATGGGAAATATAAAAATTATGTTCTATGAAACAGTGTTACATCCAAGATCGTCAGTGTTGTCTGTGTTAGTGGTACTGTCGACACACGAGTACGCGGGTTACTCTTTACATTCTGAAAACAGAAATCATATTTTGAGTTATACATATATGAAACAATAGTGTAGCTGGCGAGAAAGTGATGCTGTCAGAAAAAGGTACTAGTAGAGCGTTGTAAAAGTACACATTGTTTAGAGGAAGTGACTGCGTGTTGTTTAGAGGAAGTGACTGCGTGTTGTTTAGAGGAAGTGACTGCGTGTTGTTTAGAGGAAGGGGATGCGTGTCGTTTAGAGGAAGTGACTGCGTGTCGTTTAGAGGAAGTGACTGCGTGTTGTTTAGAGGAAGTTACTGCGTGTCGTTTAGAGGAAGTTACTGCGTGTCGTTTAGAGGAAGTGACTGCGTGTTGTTTAGAGGAAGGGGGTGCGTGTCGTTTAGAGGAAGGGGGTGCGTGTCGTTTAGAGGAAGGGGGTGCGTGTCGTTTAGAGGAAGGGGGTGCGTGTCGTTTAGAGGAAGGGAGCGTGTGCTGTTTAGAGGAAATGAGGTAAAGGTGGTAACAGCAGGTGAACTTATGGTAGTGGTAGAGGTGGTAACAGCAGGTGTACTTAAGGTAGTGGTAGAGGTGGTAACAGCAGGTGAACTTATGGTAGTGGTAGAGGTGGTTACAGCAGGTGAACTTGAGGTAGTGGTAGAGGTGGTAACAGCAGGTGTACTTAAGGTAGTGGTAGAGGTGGTAACAGCAGGTGAACTTATGGTAGTGGTAGAGGTGGTTACAGCAGGTGAACTTGAGGTAGTGGTAGAGGTGGTAACAGCAGGTGAACTTGAGGTAGTGGTAGAGGTGGTAACAGCAGGTGAACTTGAGGTAGTGGTAGAGGTGGTAACAGCAGGTGTACTTATGGTAGTGGTAGAGGTGGTTACAGCAGGTGTACTTAAGGTAGTGGTAGAGGTGGTAACAGCAGGTGAACTTGAGGTAGTGGTAGAGATGGTAACACTAGAATACGTGGCAGTGGCAGAGATGGTAACCCCAGGAGTACGTGGCAGTGGTAGAATTGAAACAACAGGTGTACTTAATGTAGTGATAGAGGTGGTAACACTAGAATACGTGGCAGTGGCAGAGGTGGTAACAGCAGGTGAACTTAAGGTATTGGTAGAGGTAGTAACAGCAGGTGAACTTATGGTAGTGGTAGAGGTGGTTACAGCAGGTGAACTTGAGGTAGTGGTAGAGGTGGTAACACTAGAATACGTGGCAGTGGCAGAGATGGTAACCCCAGGAGTACGTGGCAGTGGTAGAATTGAAACAACAGGTGTACTTAATGTAGTGATAGAGGTGGTAACACTAGAATACGTGGCAGTGGCAGAGGTGGTAACAGCAGGTGGACTTAAGGTATTGGTAGAGGTAGTAACAGCAGGTGAACTTATGGTAGTGGTAGAGGTGGTAACAGCAGGTGTACTTAAGGTAGTGGTAGAGGTGGTAACAGCAGGTGAACTTATGGTAGTGGTAGAGGTGGTTACAGCAGGTGAACTTAAGGTATTGGTAGAGGTAGTAACAGCAGGTGAACTTATGGTAGTGGTAGAGGTGGTAACAGCAGGTGTACTTAAGGTATTGGTAGAGGTAGTAACAGCAGGTGAACTTATGGTAGTGGTAGAGGTGGTAACAGCAGGTGTACTTAAGGTAGTGGTAGAGGTGGTAACAGCAGGTGAACTTATGGTAGTGGTAGAGGTGGTTACAGCAGGTGAACTTATGGTAGTGGTAGAGGTGGTAACAGCAGGTGTACTTAAGGTAGTGGTAGAGGTGGTAACAGCAGGTGAACTTGAGGTAGTGGTAGAGGTGGTAACAGCAGGTGAACTTGAGGTAGTGGTAGAGGTGGTAACAGCAGGTGTACTTAAGGTAGTGGTAGAGGTGGTAACAGCAGGTGAACTTGAGGTAGTGGTAGCGGTGGTAACAGCAGGTGAACTTGAGGTAGTGGTAGAGGTGGTAACAGCAGGTGAACTTGAGGTAGTGGTAGAGGTGGTAACAGCAGGTGTACTTATGGTAGTGGTAGAGGTGGTTACAGCAGGTGTACTTAAGGTAGTGGTAGAGGTGGTAACAGCAGGTGAACTTGAGGTAGTGGTAGAGGTGGTAACACTAGAATACGTGGCAGTGGCAGAGATGGTAACCCCAGGAGTACGTGGCAGTGGTAGAATTGAAACAACAGGTGTACTTAATGTAGTGATAGAGGTGGTAACACAAGAATACGTGGCAGTGGCAGAGGTGGTAACAGCAGGTGAACTTATGGTAGTGGTAGAGGTGGTAACAGCAGGTGAACTTAAGGTAGTTATAGAGGTGGTAACAGCAGGTGTACTTAAGGTAGTGGCAGAGGTGGTAACAGCAGGTGAACTTAAGGTAGTTATAGAGGTGGTAACAGCAGGTGTACTTAAGGTAGTTATAGAAGTGGTAACAGCAGGTGTACTTAAGATGGTGATAGAGGTGGTAACAGCAGGTGAACTTAAGATGGTGGTAGAGGTGGTAACAGCAGGTGTACTTAGGATAGTGGAAGAGGTGGTAACAGCAGGTGAACTTAAGGTACTGATAGAGGTGGTAACAGCAGGTGTACTTAATGTAGTTATTTGGGTGGTAATAGCAGGACTACGTGACAGTGGTAGAGGTGGTAACACCAGGACTACATGGCAGTGGTAGAGGTGGTAACACCAGGACTACGTGACAGTGGTAGAGGTGGTAACACCAGGACTACGTGACAGTGGTAGAGGTGGTAACACTAGGACTACGTGACAGTGGTAGAGGTGGTAACACCAGGACTACGTGACAGCGGTAGAGGTGGTGACACCAGGACTACGTGACAGCGGTGGAGTGGTAACACCAGGACTACGTGACAGCGGTAGAGGTGGTGACACCAGGACTACGTGACAGCGGTGGAGTGGTAACACCAGGACTACGTGACAGTGGTAGAGGTGGTAACACCAGGACTACATGTCAGCGGTAGAGGTGGTTACACCAGGACAACGTGGCAGTGGTAGAGGTGGTAACAACAGGACTACGTGGCAGTGGTAGAGGTGGTAACACCAGGACAACGTGGCAGTGGTAGAGGTGGTAACACCAGGGCAACGTGGCAGTGGTAGAGGTGGTAACAACAGGACTACATGGCAGTGATAAAGGTGGTAACACCAGGACAACGTGGCAGTGGTAGAGGTGGTAACACCAGGGCAACGTGGCAGTGGTAGAGGTGGTAACAACAGGACTACATGGCAGTGATAAAGGTGGTAACACCAGGACAACGTGGCAGTGGTAGAGGTGGTAACACCAGAATACGTGACAGTGGTAGAGGTGGTAACACCAGGACAACGTGACAGTGGTAGAGGTGGTAACAACAGGACTACATGGCAGTGATAAAGGTGGTAACACCAGGACAACGTGGCAGTGGTAGAGGTGGTAACACCAGGGCAACGTGGCAGTGGTAGAGGTGGTAACAACAGGACTACATGGCAGTGATAAAGGTGGTAACACCAGGACAACGTGGCAGTGGTAGAGGTGGTAACACCAGAATACGTGACAGTGGTAGAGGTGATAACAACAGGACTTCATGATAGTGGTAGAATGAGTGAGTGAGCATGGTTTCACGCCGCTTTTAGCAATATCCCAGCAATATCAAGGCGGGGGACACCAGAAATGGGCTTCACACATTGTACCCATGTCGGGAATCGATCCAGGTCCTCAGCATGACGAGCAAACACAACCACTGGCCCATATCACTACCCCGGTACTGGTAGAGGTTGGGCAATGATGCAGCTCTAATGGTAGTAGAAACTGCAATGTAGTATGTTAGTAATCTTACTCGGTTCAACGGTTTTAGTGACTTGGCTGCACTTCCACTCCACTGCTCCAGGGCAGCCTTGTGTCCTCCCGTAGGCGTCTGTCGACGTGATTATCTCCCCCTGCTTGTAACACTTTGTATCTCGGGGGTCAAAATGGTTTGGACATCCGTTAGCTGAAATGCATTCCATGATTGAAATTCACGTAAAAAAGTTGTTATGATGTTTGAGAGGCGATTAGTCAAATTGTTGTGACCAGCATAATAATTGTCAGCCACAGTATGTGCTGTCAAAGCACCACCCTACGTTGACTGATTGTGTCTATTTGTATCATTGTTGATAGAACAATTTGACAAAAGGCGTGTGTCTCGGAATTCGAACTCGCGAAATCAACACTCAAGGCAAACGAAGTTTGTCTTTTGCCACGAAATTATGTGGAAATGTTCAATGCAAATTTCAACAAACATCAACACCAATGCTAACCTACCCATAGTCAACGCCAGCGGTATGTTACCATGTTAACTATATTAGACTATTCTTCGTCAACACAAGAGGTATGATACCATGGTCACAATTCTGACCTACCCGTACTCAGCTCCAGTGGTATGTTACCATGGCAACTATACTAATATACCCGTACTCAGCACCAGCGGTATGTCACCGTGGCAACTATACTAACCCTCCCGTAATCAACGCTTATGGTGTGTTACCATGGCAACTATGCCAATCTTCCCATATTCACCTCTCCTTGTTACAAAGTAGTAGGTTATAGAGTTTCCATCCCTCTTCTTCTCGCATGTATGTGTGTTACAGCGTTCTCCGTAGCCAGCGCCCACGTCGATGCAACCACTGTCATGAAGGCAACCTGGAAACACACAACACTGTACACCCGGAAATAACCACACAGTTAACCGTTAGCATACTGTGTTCTGAGATCAGTAAGGATTCCGATGTAAAATGTCATCTACTAAACTAAGTGAGTGAGTGAGTATGGTTTTACGCCACTTTTAGCAATATTCCAGCAATATCACGGCGGGGGACACCAGAAATTGGCTTCACACATTGTACCCCTATCGGGATTCGAACCCGGTTCTTCGGCGTGACGAGCGAACGCTTTAACCCCAGACTACCCGACCGCCCTACTATACTCAGACATTTATAATACTACGACTGCAGATATCACAGAAGTCTACAAGATGCAGTCGAATCCGGAAGAGGCAAACCACTGATTGATACCGTGAGCAAAGATCGACAGGGATCGATGACACACTAAGTCATTTAGGTCCAGAGTCCACTTGCACAAAGCGATCTTACTGCTGAGACTATCGCAAGCCTATGTTATATTATTTGTTTGTTGTTTAACGCCGCATTCAGCAGTATTTCAGCTATATGACGGCGGTCTGTAAATAATCGAGTTTGGAACAGACAATCAAGTGATTGGCATTATGAGCATCGATCCGTGCAATTGGGATACGATGACATCAACCAAGTCAGCGAGCCTGACCACCCGATCCCGCTAGTCGCCTCTTACGACAAGCATGTAAGCATATGTTAAAGTATGGGGGTTACGATCATCTTAGCGCTAAGATCGCTTTGTGTACGTGGGCCCTGGTATCATACGACCGATGGTAGAGCGTCCGCCCGGAGAGCGGAAGGTCCGGGGTTCGATCCCCAGCCGCGTCATACCAAAAGGCGTTAAAAGATGGTACTTGTTGTTACCCTGTCTGGCGCTCGGCATTAAGGGGCTAAAACAAGGACTGGTCGGCTCGGAGTCAGTATACTGTGTCTGAGTGGGGTATTCATGGTAAACTGCAGCATGGTATCTCAGTGTGCTAGCACTATAAATCGGCATCAGTCCGGAGTAGTACAAGCAGCCACAAACACACATACACATGCATGCACGTCGCTATATACGTGAAATAATCTTGGACGGGACGTTAAACCCCATTTCACCTCACCTCACCTGACATCATCGTTCTCCGCTATACTGACCTTCTTTGTCCACCTGCAGTGTAAACTTGCTGTTTGACTGCACACACTTGAGGTATACACACTCCGAGGCCTGGTAGCTAGCGTTCACATTGACGCAGCCGCCTGTATGTTTGACACAACCTAAACACACGATGCATTGTAGTCAGTCAGTATGGTTTTCACGTCAAGGATAACACGATGGTTCGGTTGGAAATGTAAACATTACGAACAGGGGGAAAACTCGAGGGTTTGTTTGTTTGTTGTTTAACGCCGCACTCAGCAATATTCCACTTATATGACGGCGGTTTGTAAATAATCGAGTCTGGACCAGACAATCCAGTGATCGACAACATGAGCATTGATCCACGAAACTGGGATACGATGACATGCATCAACCAAGTCAGCGAACCCGACCACTCGATCCCGTTAGTCGCCTTTGACGACAAGCATGGGTTGCTGAAGACCTTTTCTACCCCGGATCTTCATGGGCCTCGGAGGAAAGTGTTTTACCTGTCTTAAAGGCAGGAAGAAACATCTGAAATAGCATTTATCAACAATTTTATTATGTTACCAACACACTTTCAAAGAACCGTCATGGTAGGAAAAGGACGTAAAGCATACTCGTATCTTAAAGGCATTATGGTTTATCAGCGTCCCACCAGTAAAAATAACTTACATTTGTCGTGTGATTTACATTTGAGCACTTTTCTTTATATTTGCCTTGTAGTGCGTGTTATATATACTGAACAACAAATGTTTCTGTGACATTGAATAAGATTTAATGCAAAGTTATGTTTTTTACCAAATCTAAAACAATTTCGGCCTGTCACTCCGAGGATGGTCTCTGACTGCATCCGTCTGTTGCCAATGTTGCCATAAACACCAAATGGTGTTTCTGTGGACGTTAAATTGTTTTGCATCATCACGTTGACTCGATTCTGCTTCAAGCATACCAATGGCTCGCAGACGCTCATTTCGGATAGGCGTGGCATTTCGTAATGTTGAATAATTGCGTAGTTTTGTTGTTTTTCTGAGTGGTTGTTGTCAGCACGATGCTAAACAATGCATATTGAATCCTGTTAACGCACATGCTTTTACACCCATTCTTGGGTAGTGAAATGCATGGGGCTTGCATGAAAGTCAACTTTTGCATTGAATGCATGCTTTTCTGTAGCAGTTGCGTTTTGGCGACTTGATTCGATTCATGTACTACAATATTGAAAACCAAGCTTTACTTGTTTGAAAAATACACTAAAATATTGGTGTCACAGGAACTTTTGTTGTTGAGTAAAGATAGTGTTCCATTGCAAAATAGATGTCTAACAGAGATTTTCTATAGCAGGGGGACTTTCAAGAGAGTATTCCTGGGGCAGAAGGACTTTCAATGGATTATCCCCTGGAAAGGGGGACCTTTAGAAGATTATCCTGGATCACAGGGACCTTTATCGAGCATCACTTGAACAGGGAGACTTTCAACAGAGTATCCAGGAGCTCCTCACCTTCAATTATTGGGTCCAGTTCAGCAACAGCATGGAATCGGAATTCAAACACCTTGTTCTTCATGCCCTGAGAGATCTTGACACTGGCTTTACATGTGTGTTGAAGACAAACGCCAAACGTTAGCGCCGTGCCGTTCTCGTAGCACTTGTCTCCTATCACACACCCTGTAAACAAACAAAAACACCAATGGGGATGTATAAAAGAGTGAGTGAGTGAGTTGGGTTTAACGCCGCTTTTAACAGTATTACAGTTATATCACGGCGTGTCAGCTTAATGTGGGAGGAAAGCCCGAAGTGATGCAGGTCTTAGACGTTTACCACTTCGGTGAAACCCACGAGCACGGGTATGGTGCTGACAAACCTAAAAACATAATCGGGGCGAACCGGGATTCGAACCCACAATCATAGGTTTCTGGCGTGCCCAAGGGACGCAACTCTGCACAGCGAATCGCGGCGCCTTAGACGACTGGGCCACCCGTGCCCCCATGTATAAAAGAGGAGGAAAGCGTGCGGAGCTGTATGGTACTAAGCGGCGACGACACAAGTACTTTTCTTCGGAAGCTGAAATAGCATTTGGAATGCACACTTTTTCTGTTTAACAACCCATTCAGCTATATTTATTCTATTTCACTAGTCCAGGCAAAATATGGTTTCACCTGGAACAAATTGCAGCAGAATTTATTTCACCACAATGCATTTCTACAAGGTCCCGAAAGCAACATACTAAAAGTCCCAAGCAATCCCAGTTTGGGAAATATGTCTAATTTGCATAATCCAATATGGCCACCAATTATCAATATATTTCAGACGAGGTTCATTGTTTTGATGACAAAAAGCGACAAGCATATGGCGGACTCCCCCCGGTGTCTTACGTTTCCATTACTTTATCCTCTTATATTTTAAGTGTCTCTATTTTTTACCATCATCATAATTGCTATTGTTAGTAATAGCGACGAGCAGAAGCAGCCATCATCCCGCCACAAGGACGTTACCTGACTGTATAAGTACAGTTTCCACCCTTGCCGATATTGGCTGGATTTTCTCGCCGCGATCGTAGAGCCACAAGTGGCAATTACGAGTTATGTCCCTTCTACGCTTCTCATACTGACCAATCAGATTCCACCTCTCATATCACTTACATTTACTTCAAACAAAATGGCGGCGCCCAGTCAAGACGATCTGATTGATAATCGAAATGTAATTGTAATAAAACGGGTCTTACTTCGGGAAGTACATCAAATCACGTGAGCACCTTGATAACAAACATGAAATGATTTGGAAAATATCTGTTGACGCCGATTTGGCGGTACACATGCTTAGCGATTCCCGCAAGCGACGGAATTCTGTTCAGCAGTTTACCAACCGGATGTCGACTTCGTTACGCGATTTTGATTTGACTATGCATAGACTCGTTAGTCCTTCTAGAAATAACTCCAAAACTCAAGCCTAGTTGGGCAAGGGTGGAAAATGGACTTTAACAGTCAGTTAACTCCCTTGCCTCGGGAAGATGAGCAGCAGCAGGAGTAGTAGTAGTAGTAGTAGTAGTAGTAGTAGTAGTAGTAGTAGTAGTAGTAGTAGTAGTAGTAGGGGTAGGGGTAGTAGTTTACCACTTCGACGAAAGCTCTAGCAGGGCATGGTACTGTGGAATGGACAGACCAATGATCGTAATAAGGACGAATCCACGATTTTAACTATCGGTATCCTGAAAAAACAAACGACGGTTTTTTCTGAACCCTGATGGTCAATGCTGACTCGATCGGCGCTGACAAGAGCGACGTCGTGTTTGGAAACACTGAAAGTACTACGTACATACGTGACCTTTTGTTTGCATATGTAACCGTAAATGACCCCAACGGATACCGATTTTAGCCACTGGCTCTATCCATACTCATTATTTGATCATTATGTTTCTATGATGCCATCAGTCAATACAAATATTGTTCGTAACTTACGTAGAGGGGAATGTCCGAGTAACTCTCAATTCCTTCAAAATAATGGAGCATGCCCATTGTTTTTAAGGAATGGAGAGTTACGAGGATAACGGATTTGTTTTTTCTCGTCAAAGGTTTATCTAATTGCTATAAATATGAACATCGTTGTTGGTAACCTGCTCTAACACAAATAATATACATATTATTTTGATCTTTAAAGCATCATGCAAAATTGTGAAAAGATTTAATAGTTAATTTCACATCATACATTCATGTGCCGCCGTAGCTGAAGGTGACCATTACACGTTCTCAAATCAAACAATGTGAGTTCGAACCCCGCTGGCGACACACATTTTCGGGGAAAAAAATGAAATTATTCACTTGTCAAAAAAATGTTCCGTCTATTCCAAGTGAAAATTAATTTAAATGTTGGTTCAAGATATAGCTGACAAACAACTTTCCATTCCTAAAAATTAGTTGAGCGTTCAAACGATAGAATGACGTCACTGATGTGTTTTAACAATGTGTACATGTTATGCCATGTCAAGATATACAGAAAGCAATCTGTGTGTTCAGCCTCTTCACAAAAGCATTCTAATACACGTGCTCTGGGCCTGTTGCCTTTAAGGATAGAGTTTGTTTGTTTGTTGTTTAACGCCGGGCTCAGCAATATTCCAGCTGTATGACGGCGGTCTGTAAATAATCCACGCATCAACCAAGTCAGCGAACCTGACCACCCGATCCCGTTAGTTGCCACTTACGTCGCATAGTCGCCTTTTACGGCAAGCATGGGTTGTTGAAGACCTATTCTACCCCGGATCTTCACGGGCCTATTGAGGATAGAAGACTATGACTAAGTGAAGTACCAGCATCAGTTGGTTTCCACAGGGGTCTCCGCATCCATCGCCTGTACCTTGGGATGACGTCACATACAGCTGTCGTGCAGTTTTCAGGGAAGTGGACCACGTCGCCATAAGCGTAACACGTGCCGTCGTAGTGGCAGTGAGCTTTCTGAAAGTGTAGTGAAATGAAGAAGATGTTCTCCTAGAATTCCTATTCATGTTTCAGTCCTTTTGTCTTTAATCATGTTTACAATATGTGGAATTTTTTAGTGTAGTCGTTACACTGATAACAAGATCTGAACACTACGTGTAATGATGTCCAACACTGCACTGATCACAAGGCCTGAATACTACGTGTAACGATGTCCAACACAGCACTGATAACAAGGTCTGAACACTACGTGTAATGGCGCCTGACCAAGCACTGATAATAAGGTCTGAACACTACGTGTTATGGCGCCTGACCAAGCACTGATAACAAGGTCTGAACACTACGTGTAATGATGTCCAACACAGCACTGATAATAAGGTCTGAACACTACGCGAAATGATGTCCAACACAGCACTGATAACAAGGTCTGAACACTACGTGTAATGGCGCCTGACCAAGCACTGATAACAAGGTCTGAACACTACGTGTAATGATGTCCAAAACAGCACTGATAATAAGGTCTGAACACTACGCGAAATGATGTCCAACACAGCACTGATAACAAGGTCTGAACACTACGTGAAATGGCGCCTGCCAAAGCACTGATAACAAGGTCTGAACACTACGTGTAATGATGTCCAACACAGCACTGATAACAAGGTCTGAACACTACGTGTAATGATGTCTAACACAGCACTGATAACAAGGCCTAAACACTACGTGTAAAGATGTCCAGCACTGATAATAAGGTCTGAACACTACGTGTAATGATGTCCAACACAGCACTGATAACAAGCTCTGAACACTACGTGTTATGGCGCCTGACCAAGCACTGATAACAAGGTCTGAACACTACGTGTAATGATGTCCAACACATCACTGATAACAAGGTCTTAATACAACGTTTAATGACGCATAACACAGCATTGATAACAAGGTCTGAACACGACAAGTAATGGCGCATAACCAAGCATTGATAACAAGGTCTGAACACAACGTGTAATGATGTCCAACACAGCACTGATAACAAGGTCTGAACACTACATGTACCGATGTCCAACACAGCATTGATAACAAGGCCTGAACACTACGTGTAATGATGTCCAACACAGCACTGATAACAAGGCCTTAACACTACCTGTAATGATGTCCAACACATCACTGATAACAAGGTCTGAACACAACGTGTAATGATGTCCAACACATCACTGATAACAAGGTCTGAACACTACGTGTTACGGCACCTGACCAAGCACTGACAACAAGGTCTGAACACTTCGTGTCATGACGCCTAACCAAGCAGTGTCAACAAGATCTGAACAATACGTGTAATTATGTCCAACACAGCACTGATAACAAGGTCTGAACACTGCGTGTAATTATGTCCAACACAGCACTGACAACAAGGTCTGAACACTACGTGTCATGACGCCTAACCAAGCACTGACAACAAGGTCTGAACAATACGTGTAATTATGTCCAAAACAGCACTGATAACAAGGTCTGAACACTACGTGTAATGGCGCCTGCCCAAGCACTGATAACAAGGTCTGAACACTACGTGTAATGATGTCCAACACAGCACTGATAACAAGGTCTGAACACTACGTGTAATGATGTCCAACACAGCACTGATAATAAGGCCTAAACACTACGTGTAAAGATGTCCAACACAGCACTGATAACAAGGTCTGAACACTACGTGTAATGATGTCCAACACAGCACTGATAACAAGGTCTGAACACTACATGTACCGATGTCCAACACAGCATTAATAACAAGGCCTTTACACTACGTGTAATGATGTCCAACACAGCACTGATAACAAGGCCTTAACACTACCTGTAATGATGTCCAACACATCACTGATAACAAGGTCTGAACACAACGTGTAATGATGTCCAACACATCACTGATAACAAGGTCTGAACACTACGTGTTACGGCACCTGACCAAGCACTGACAACAAGGTCTGAACACTAAGTGTCATGACGCCTAACCAAGCAGTGACAACAAGATCTGAACAATACGTGTAATTATGTCCAACACAGCACTGATAACAAGGCCTGAACACTGCGTGTAATTATGTCCAACACAGCACTGACAACAAGGTCTGAACACTACGTGTCATGACGCCTAACCAAGCACTGACAACAAGATCTGAACAATACGTGTAATTATGTCCAACACAGCACTGATAACAAGGCCTGGACACTACGTGTTATGGCGCCTGACCAAGCACTGATAACAAGGCCTGAACACTGCGTGTAATTATGTCCAACACAGCACTGACAACAAGGTCTGAACACTACGTGTCATGACGCCTAACCAAGCACTGACAACAAGATCTGAACAATACGTGTAATTATGTCCAACACAGCACTGATAACAAGGTCTGAACACTACGTGTAATGGCGCCTGCCCAAGCACTGATAACAAGGTCTGAACACTACGTGTAATGATGTCCAACACAGCACTGATAACAAGGTCTGAACACTACGTGTAATGATGTCCAACACAGCACTGATAACAAGATCTGAACACCACGTGTAATGATGTCCAACACAGCACTGATAACAAGGCCTGAACACTACGTGTAATGATGTCCAACACAGCACTGATAACAAGGCCTGGACACTACGTGTAATGATGTCCAACACAGCACTGATAACAAGGTCTGAACACTACGTGTAATGGCGCCTGACCAAGCACTGACAACAAGATCTGAACACTACGTGTAATGATGTCCAACACAGCACTGATAACAAGATCTGAACACTACGTGTCATGACGCCTAACCAAGCACTGACAACAAGATCTGAACAATACGTGTAATTATGTCCAACACAGCACTGATAACAAGGTCTGAACACTACGTGTAATGATGTCCAACACATCACTGATAACAAGGTCTGAACACAACGTGTAATGATGTCCAACACATCACTGATAACAAGGTCTGAACACTACGTGTTACGGCACCTGACCAAGCACTGACAACAAGGTCTGAACACTAAGTGTCATGACGCCTAACCAAGCAGTGACAACAAGATCTGAACAATACGTGTAATTATGTCCAACACAGCACTGATAACAAGGCCTGAACACTGCGTGTAATTATGTCCAACACAGCACTGACAACAAGGTCTGAACACTACGTGTCATGACGCCTAACCAAGCACTGACAACAAGATCTGAACAATACGTGTAATTATGTCCAACACAGCACTGATACCAAGGCCTGGACACTACGTGTTATGGCGCCTGACCAAGCACTGATAACAAGGCCTGAACACTGCGTGTAATTATGTCCAACACAGCACTGACAACAAGGTCTGAACACTACGTGTCATGACGCCTAACCAAGCACTGACAACAAGATCTGAACAATACGTGTAATTATGTCCAACACATCACTGATAACAAGGTCTGAACACTACGTGTAATGGCGCCTGCCCAAGCACTGATAACAAGGTCTGAACACTACGTGTAATGATGTCCAACACAGCACTGATAACAAGGTCTGAACACTACGTGTAATGATGTCCAACACAGCACTGATAACAAGATCTGAACACCACGTGTAATGATGTCCAACACAGCACTGATAACAAGGCCTGAACACTACGTGTAATGATGTCCAACACAGCACTGATAACAAGGCCTGGACACTACGTGTAATGATGTCCAACACAGCACTGATAACAAGGTCTGAACACTACGTGTAATGGCGCCTGACCAAGCACTGACAACAAGATCTGAACACTACGTGTAATGATGTCCAACACAGCACTGATAACAAGATCTGAACACTACGTGTCATGACGCCTAACCAAGCACTGACAACAAGATCTGAACAATACGTGTAATTATGTCCAACACAGCACTGATAACAAGGTCTGAACACTACGTGTAATGGCGCCTGCCCAAGCACTGATAACAAGGTCTGAACACTACGTGTAATGATGTCCAACACAGCACTGATAACAAGGTCTGAACACTACGTGTAATGATGTCCAACACAGCACTGATAACAAGATCTGAACACCACGTGTAATGATGTCCAACACAGCACTGATAACAAGGCCTGAACACTACGTGTAATGATGTCCAACACAGCACTGATAACAAGGCCTGGACACTACGTGTAATGATGTCCAACACAGCACTGATAACAAGGCCTGAACACTACGTGTAATTATGTCCAACACAGCACTGATAACAAGGCCTGGACACTACGTGTTATGGCGCCTGACCAAGCACTGATAACAAGGTCTGAACACTGCGTGTAATTATGTCCAACACAGCACTGACAACAAGGTCTGAACACTTCGTGTCATGACGCCTAACCAAGCACTGACAACAAGGTCTGAACAATACGTGTAATTATGTCCAACACAGCACTGATAACAAGGTCTGAACACTACGTGTAATTGCGCCTGCCCAAGCACTGATAACAAGGTCTGAACACTACGTGTAATGATGTCCAACACAGCACTGATAACAAGGTCTGAACACTACGTGTAATGATGTCCAACACAGCACTGATAATAAGGCCTAAACACTACGTGTAAAGATGTCCAACACAGCACTGATAACAAGGTCTGAACACTACGTGTAATGATGTCCAACACAGCACTGATAACAAGGTCTGAACACTACATGTACCGATGTCCAACACAGCATTGATAACAAGGCCTTTACACTACGTGTAATGATGTCCAACACAGCACTGATAACAAGGCCTTAACACTACCTGTAATGATGTCCAACACATCACCGATAACAAGGTCTGAACACAACGTGTAATGATGTCCAACACATCACTGATAACAAGGTCTGAACACTACGTGTTACGGCACCTGACCAAGCACTGACAACAAGGTCTGAACACTAAGTGTCATGACGCCTAACCAAGCAGTGACAACAAGATCTGAACAATACGTGTAATTATGTCCAACACAGCACTGATAACAAGGCCTGAACACTGCGTGTAATTATGTCCAACACAGCACTGACAACAAGGTCTGAACACTACGTGTCATGACGCCTAACCAAGCACTGACAACAAGATCTGAACAATACGTGTAATTATGTCCAACACATCACTGATAACAAGGCCTGGACACTACGTGTTATGGCGCCTGACCAAGCACTGATAACAAGGCCTGAACACTGCGTGTAATTATGTCCAACACAGCACTGACAACAAGGTCTGAACACTACGTGTCATGACGCCTAACCAAGCACTGACAACAAGATCTGAACAATACGTGTAATTATGTCCAACACAGCACTGACAACAAGGTCTGAACACTACGTGTAATGGCGCCTGCCCAAGCACTGATAACAAGGTCTGAACACTACGTGTAATGATGTCCAACACAGCACTGATAACAAGGTCTGAACACTACGTGTAATGATGTCCAACACAGCACTGATAACAAGATCTGAACACCACGTGTAATGATGTCCAACACAGCACTGATAACAAGGCCTGAACACTACGTGTAATGATGTCCAACACAGCACTGATAACAAGGCCTGGACACTACGTGTAATGATGTCCAACACAGCACTGATAACAAGGTCTGAACACTACGTGTAATGGCGCCTGACCAAGCACTGACAACAAGATCTGAACACTACGTGTAATGATGTCCAACACAGCACTGATAACAAGATCTGAACACTACGTGTCATGACGCCTAACCAAGCACTGACAACAAGATCTGAACAATACGTGTAATTATGTCCAACACAGCACTGATAACAAGGTCTGAACACTACGTGTAATGATGTCCAACACATCACTGATAACAAGGTCTGAACACAACGTGTAATGATGTCCAACACATCACTGATAACAAGGTCTGAACACTACGTGTTACGGCACCTGACCAAGCACTGACAACAAGGTCTGAACACTAAGTGTCATGACGCCTAACCAAGCAGTGACAACAAGATCTGAACAATACGTGTAATTATGTCCAACACAGCACTGATAACAAGGCCTGAACACTGCGTGTAATTATGTCCAACACAGCACTGACAACAAGGTCTGAACACTACGTGTCATGACGCCTAACCAAGCACTGACAACAAGATCTGAACAATACGTGTAATTATGTCCAACACAGCACTGATAACAAGGCCTGGACACTACGTGTTATGGCGCCTGACCAAGCACTGATAACAAGGCCTGAACACTGCGTGTAATTATGTCCAACACAGCACTGACAACAAGGTCTGAACACTACGTGTCATGACGCCTAACCAAGCACTGACAACAAGATCTGAACAATACGTGTAATTATGTCCAACACAGCACTGATAACAAGGTCTGAACACTACGTGTAATGGCGCCTGCCCAAGCACTGATAACAAGGTCTGAACACTACGTGTAATGATGTCCAACACAGCACTGATAACAAGGTCTGAACACTACGTGTAATGATGTCCAACACAGCACTGATAACAAGATCTGAACACCACGTGTAATGATGTCCAACACAGCACTGATAACAAGGCCTGAACACTACGTGTAATGATGTCCAACACAGCACTGATAACAAGGCCTGGACACTACGTGTAATGATGTCCAACACAGCACTGATAACAAGGTCTGAACACTACGTGTAATGGCGCCTGACCAAGCACTGACAACAAGATCTGAACACTACGTGTAATGATGTCCAACACAGCACTGATAACAAGATCTGAACACTACGTGTCATGACGCCTAACCAAGCACTGACAACAAGATCTGAACAATACGTGTAATTATGTCCAACACAGCACTGATAACAAGGTCTGAACACTACGTGTAATGGCGCCTGCCCAAGCACTGATAACAAGGTCTGAACACTACGTGTAATGATGTCCAACACAGCACTGATAACAAGGTCTGAACACTACGTGTAATGATGTCCAACACAGCACTGATAACAAGATCTGAACACCACGTGTAATTATGTCCAACACAGCACTGATAACAAGGCCTGAACACTACGTGTAATGATGTCCAACACAGCACTGATAACAAGGCCTGGACACTACGTGTAATGATGTCCAACACAGCACTGATAACAAGGCCTGAACACTACGTGTAATGATGTCCAACACAGCACTGATAACAAGGTCTGAACACTTCGTGTCATGACGCCTAACCAAGCACTGACAACAAGGTCTGAACACTACGTGTAATTATGTCCAACACAGCACTGATAACAAGGTCTGAACACTGCGTGTAACGATTTCCAACACAGAACTGATAACAAGGTCGGAACACAACGTGTAATCACTCCTAACCAAGCACTGATAACAAGGTCTGAATACTACGTGTAATGATGTCTAGCCCAAATGTTTATTTATCGCCAACATTCATTATTTTGCGTAACCTGTCGAAGAATTAATACCGCTCAAACCTACGATTTCAAATTCGCGGAATCTTTGTGTTGAGTGTAGACTATGTAATAAGGTTAAATTTCCTATTATGAAATACTACTTCTCCTCTGTTATAAGAGTAAAATGTTCTTGCTATTTTAGTTTCTTATTTAAAATTTGACGATGAGTAATAAAAAATCTGGACATAAAATATTAATTTTACTCGGGACATATAATACGTCGTTCCTCGTCACTCCTAAATTATTGTCTATATATCCAACTTGTGAAGATATGGAGGCGATATAATTTGTTTCCTTTGGTGGTCGTTATTTGCGGCGTTGACGGTATGGAAGTAATTACCTTTATTGGCGAGATCATGCCATACTGAAGGACACCTCTCGCCCAGTGGATGCGGCAAACCCTCTCGTCACACGGAATCCCTGTCTTCTCAACTTCTGGATGCCAGGGGTTCCAGATGATGCAACGACCCTCAAACGGACAACCTGGCAGGTCAATATGAAATCAAGGTCAGAAAGACTCACCCGTGGATGATGATGATGATGATGATGATGATGATGATGATGATGGTTATTATTATTATTATTATTATTATTATTATTATTATTATTATTAATATTATGTAAAGATATTTTTTTTAAATTCAGCAAAGAGGGTTTGGGTGATCCTGGCACAGTCAGGCTGGTTAGGCTCATCATCAGCTCAGGGCCCTTGCCCCGTTAACACGCAGCCCAGACAGCGAATGGGACTTCTCCCAGGAAGCGCTGCCGAGTCAAACCAACCAAGAACTTTTCGGAGAATGTGAAGACTCCCCAACACTGCAGCCTCCTGCATTACCCAGATTGTCAGAAGGGCTGAATTCCTGGTAGCAAAAACGGGTACTCTCCCAATGTCAGTCAACAGATTGGGAGATATCAAACCTAAGGCACCGAGAACAACGGGGAGTCGGATAACATGGTACTTGGGATGCAAGGGTGACATTTCGAAAGCGAGGTCCGCATATTTGCCATGTTTTTCTTCAATTTTGTCAATCACATTAGTGTCAAGAGGGACAGAAAATTCAAGGATATAAATGATTTCATTGGATTTATCAAAAAGGACAAGATCTGGTTTGTTGGCCTGGATACGTCTAAGGCTGTATATGGGCCTATTCCAAAGAATTTTGTATTTATCATTTTCAATGACGCCCTCCACATATTCTGGGTTGCACCATGGATAGACCTGCGTCAAAACCACAAGCATGGCGAAGACGATAATAAAATGATCGAGCTACACCATCATGTCGCTTAAAATACTGTGTTTGTGCCAAAGCTGGGCATCCACTGACAATGTGTTGGGTAGTCTCATTAAATTCATTACATAATCTACATTTCATATTTACATTTTGATGCGAAATCACACATTGAGGGAAGTGACTGGTCCTGAGAGACAAACATAAAACATCCTGTTTCACTTTTCAGGCCAGCCGACCTCATCCAAGCGAAGGACTCGGCAGGGTTGCTGACCCTCTCAACACACTGCGCATAAACTCAAAGCAGTGGTCGTTCAGAAAGCCTCTCCTTGAAAAACTGAGTCTGGGCCGACTTGATATGGCACCTCGCTTGGTTGACACTCATTTATGTACCGTCCAGCAGTACAGAACCATCAACCAAATCAACACCGACATTCAGGTTATGTTTTGGCTCGTTTTAGAAAACTGTGGAATGCCTTGTTTTCATTATGGTCTTGACATGCTTCATAAGAGTATCATCAGACAAATAAATGTGTGCAAAAGTGCACAAAACAGTTCTATCATGAATCAAACCAAGCGCTCCCATGATAATTGGTAAATATAAGCGATTGGGGGAAGGGCGGGGGTGGTGGGATCTATTGTCTGCCATGATTCTTCGTGTGAGGGTGTCAATACCTTGAATTTCTTGTTTCGTCCAATCAACAACACCAGAAGAATACGAGGGGACGGGTACAGAATAAGTATTTGTGGCTTTGACTTTATTGCGAGCGTTCAGCTCTGAACTCCTACATTTGTACTATGCCCGAAGTTTTTCCTTGATATGGGCATTCTGGAGTTTGTCCCTGATCTGCATCTCAAAGTACGTATAGGCCTGACCTTCCACGATATGCTCAATAACTCCTCCCCAAGTAAACTGACTGATCCCCACTCTTCTACCTTGCCATGTTTAAGATGAAGAATGATGCATTTGTCGAGTCCAAAGAACATGCGGATATCATTAGAAAAGGACTCGACAAGCAGAATCTGTTTTTGAGTTTAGACCCTTCATTGGCAATAAGTTCAAGGTTATCCATGTAAAGGAGGTGAGTAAGGGGTGTTGGGTATCTGTGCTGAGGATGTCCAGGATGATAACCTTCCACTTTGCTGAGCAAAAGGCCTAAAGGATTCAGTGACAAACAGAAAAGCAAAGGGCTAAAAGAATCGCCCTGATATATTCCTCTTCTAATAGAAATGGGTTCCGAAGTCACCACCTGCCCCTGCAAATAGATCTCAGGCTGAGTTGACCAGCAATTCATTGAAGACTGGAGTAAAACAAGCAGTCGCTCAGTGAGATCAATACATTCCAGTGACCTCAAAATCCATGCGTGAGATACAGAATCATAAGCTTTTCTGTAGTCTATCCAACACATTGAGAGGTTACGGTGGTAAGTTTTAGCCTCTTCAAGGATAATTTTCTGAACTAGAAATAGATCCTTACAACCCCAGAATCCCTTTCTGGCTCCTCTCTGCTCCATGTAAATAATGTGACACAATATCTGTAAGACACCCTGTACATATCTTGTATTGTGTATTCAGACATTAAATAGGGCGGAAGTTTTGGGGGTCAGTCAAATCACCTTTCCTAGGGCGAAGTATTGTTCGACCTTTGCACAACCAAGGCGGAACATCCCATGTATCCACAAGAAAATTTAAACAGTCAAGTAATGGCGTTTGGACACAAAGGAACTGTTTCCAAAAACGTTTTTGAATACCACTTTTTAATTACCTGTTTCAGGCATTCGGGTGTAATGAAACAACAATGGTGACGTTATTTTGCATGTACATTAATATTGTAATCCTCTCTACCCATGGTTCCTCGAGGTTGCAGTTGCCGGGTATAGACCACAACTATTTCCAAAACCTTTCACTGGAATCAATGGTGGGTCTTTTCTCGTCATTGCCATTGGTGGCATTTAATTGCCTGTAAAACTGTTTTTCTTTAGATTTGAACAGTTTATTTTGTTTTATGAAATGATTTTTCTAATTCCACTTTCTCTTTCTTTCGGTCCAAATCTTTAACTTTGCCTTCAGAGCATCAAGAATGTGATTTAGAATATTTTCTTTTGTTGCCTTGTATTTTGTTTTTACATTTTTTGTTTTTGCGTTTTGACATTGATTGCACTGAGGAACGTAATTTTAAGCAAAGTCCTATCCAGGATATATGTTTCCTTGTTTCATTTAGTTGTATTTGGAACCGGTTTTTCTTTTGATGATTTTGTTTATTACCCGTTTGTGCTTTGTTGTCTTTGGAAACTGTATGGAGTTCATCCAGTGTTCGAGCAGCAGCATACTCGCAACAGTTAATGTCAAGCAAAGAACACTTCGCATTAAGAGTGACTGAGATAATTTAATTTAATTCATCATGTTGATTCTGTTGAATTGATTGGTTAAATTGTTTAATTGACCTCCTTTTTTCAGTCGGTAAATCACAGATTTGCCAAAAGAATGACACAAACAAATTGTACAAGGGATCATCAGAAAGATCATTGACAGAAGTGGGGACGGAATCGGGAGAAAACTTAAAATTTTCGAGGCAGGAATTTCATTTTGTGAGGTCATGTGTGGGTCATCAGTGACAACTGCATTAGGTAACTTAGGAAGAGCAATGCGAACATCTATTTGCAATTTCGGGTCTGTTTCGGTTGGATCTGAGGGTGCATGTAAAGGCGCCTGACGAGTGTTGGCATTTAGCTGGGGCAAGTCCCATCTCCAGTTTCCTTGGTTTGTATACCGGCGGAGGGCTAACTGGGGTGCGGAGTTCGAATATGAGTTTTTTCTTGGCTTTCTGTGACCCAGTGTTGAACCAGTTTCTAAGGGTTAGGCCTAAATGTGTCATGTACGTTTTGTTCTTGCTTAGGAGATATATACCAGGATGGTGACGGTGATACTTACCACTCTTATACCTGAGTAGTCCTATTCTTCCTGACCGGTAACACTTCCATTTAATACACGGTGTTCTAGGGTCTGTGAAGACTGTATTAAGCTGCTTTGGAATCTTCGTTTTGTTAAACGCAAACACGCAGTGATCACGTCTTGGTACACCTTTCGATGGAAAAACGTCAAAGTACTTTAACAAGATTTCTGTCCAGGCTAGCTCAATATTTAGACCACTTTAGACTTCCCACTTCTCATTGTTTGGGTAACATATGTAAAGAAAATCAATAAGAATATAACCGACAACAGAAAATAAGAACGTTTTTACATAACTATGCAAACCATGTTGCGACGTTTAGTATCCAAACTGAAAAGCACCTTACATATCACTTATTTCGTGCCTAAGTTGATATGATGTTGTCAACTCACCTCGTTTAAACCGGTTCAGTTGGGGAACATATAGTCGCCTGTGGTCCTGGTTCAATTGATGGGTCTGGTAAGAGGTGACAAGCACAGCAAACAAAGCTAGCGCCAGTACTGTAGGGAATTAGAGTAAGTGATGGAGTTTAACAGTTTTCAGTTATTGTAGTGTGTCAGTGTGAGGTGAGGTGACGCTAATCGAAGACGTTTACAACTTTGTAGAAACTGACGGGGAATAGTGCTGATAAACCTTCAGGCCGAAATGGAATTTAAGTCCATGACCAGCGCATCCTTGTGCTGCAACGGGCGACAATTTAGGGCAGTGGTATGCCCTTGCCCAACAAGAGATAAGAAATATACATTCAATTTATTTTATTTTATTTTATCGGTTTCAACGTTAAAATGACAAAAACAAAGTTCCTATATTGTGAAACGTTCAAGAAGATGCATAATATTATCTATATAGAGATTATAGCGTGATGTGGAAATAACATCACAGGATTTCCAGTCGTCATTGAGGACATAGATGGAGGTACATCAATTAAACAGTATATACAGTAAACTATGTTTATAACGAACACGCTTATAACGAACTGACCGATATAACGAACTTATTTTCAGTCCCGACCAATCGGTGTATATATGCTGTATATATACTTATAACGAACTACGGTTATTACGAACTAAAATTAGTGATCCCTTTGAGTTTGTTATAACCGTAGATTAATGTGCATTGAAATGCATTTGAGCACTTGTACGTTTCTATAAACATTTTAGTACTTACTTATTAAGGCGCAGTACAACCCCATCGCTTGAAGCACCCGTACCCAAAGACAAAATCAAATGAAGGAAAACCGTGATGAAAGCAAATAGGTCGTTCTCGTCATCCCTCTGCCGCTTTACACGCACGGTGCAGGGACATCAATAACACCCACAGTTTATGTCGTTTTAACCATCGCCGTCATCCCTGACACGTTACAAATTCAGATTGTATCGAATCACACAGGCCATGAATACATTTCCATCGTTATTTATTTCACTGATATTGATTTCGGAGGTATGCAATGACTTCCTTCACAGATAGTGATGTCAATCGACAGGAATCAATGGTAGCATCTGCCGTTATGTTTTCTTGTTGACAGGAACGGTTGGCTTCATCCTTTCAGCAGGCACCGCGTGCATCACATGTTAATATGTACCAGAGCAGTTTAAGTATTGCAGATTATTTCGTGAAAGCTGATAAACAATTTAATCAAAATATCCCAAGGCTTTTATTTGAACATATACAATGATATATGACGGCATCACTTACGTCATGCTATATTTTCCGAGCGCCTGTAAATACGTAATGGCCTATATTTATTGCGTGTATTTTGTGTATCATATGATGGATTTAGAAATAATAAGGGCCTGAGTGCCATTTTGAGTCAGTAGTGGTTAAGAAGGTAATTCAAGAGCACCTTTTCTGTGAGATAATACAGATTGCTACATCTCGTGGGGGGATACCTTCAGCACTTCAATTGCACTAAACTATAGTCCGCAAGTCTCATCTTTTCACTCTTTGCATCTTGATGTGTGATATTAAGAGCTCAATAAGTGTTTATTCAAAATTAGCATCGCAACCACGATCGCCATTTGGGTGTTTATTTGAGAGTTTTTGACTGTAATGATGCATCTTTCCTTTTCTATAGAGGCTAAAGATATTTATTATTCTGCAATCGTGGTAATTTTTGTTGACATTATCAAACAACTTTTTATATAAAAGAATTTTGAAAACTTATATATATACAGAACAGTATCTGTTTTATGTACATATCAGGAAATACCGTAATTCATTTGCAAGATTTCGATGTTCATCCCATGATTTATGCATCGAGATTGGGAGATACACAAAATCTCCAAGATCGGAATGATTATGTAAAATGGGTTATAGCCAAGATATAGAGGATGAATATCACTTTTTGCTTGTATGTCCATTGTACTCCACTGTGAGAAAAACATATATTACTGTATACAGTAAAGTACGGTTATAACGAACTCAAAGGGACTACTAATTTTAGTTCGTTATAACCGTAGTTCGTTATAAGCATATATACAGCATAACTACAGCAAATAGTCGGGACCAAAAAAGTAAGTTCGTTATATCCGTCAGTTCGTTATAAGCGTGTTCGTTATAACCGTAGTTTACTGTACTACTTTAATGATCCAAATATTGTGAAATTCCGACAATTGTTAAACAGTCTAGATAAATTAATAATGCAAAACGTAGTCATGTATATATTCCACGCACTGTTATGTAGAACCAAATTTGTAATAATAGTTAAAATTGTGTGCAACATCTCTGTCGTATGTACTATAGGCATGTGACCTCTTAAGTGATTGAATAAAGATTGATTGAATATATAAGATATATACAATAATAAAACAAAATGTATTTTATGTGATTATAGAGACTACCACCCGAATGTGTTTCCGTATTGTAAATATACAAGCATATCAAATACCTAACGTTTTATATAAGATATTTACGACACGGACACACACGAGGGTAATACTAGTACACGGTTAATCATATAATGCCATTCTTAAAATGATCTATGTAATGTCATTCATTGAAGTAACTTCAGACACAGCGTATGAATACAATGGTGTAGATAATATATCTCCCCATTTGCCATGCGACCCGTGAAGATCAAGGGAAGAATAGGTCTTCAGCAACCCATGATTGCCTTAACAGGCGACAATGCTTGTCATTAGGGGCGACAAACGGGATCGGGTGGTCAGGCTCGCTTACTTGGTTGATGCATGTCATCGTATCCTAATTGCGTGAATCGATGATCATGATGTCAATCACTGGATTGTCTGACCCAGACTTGATTATTTACCGCCGGCATATGGCTGGAATATTGTTAAGTGTGACGTTAAACAAGAAACAAACAAACATTTGTCATACAGTGTCAAATGATTCGCAGCCATGTTTATCTACACTTTGGAAAGTTAGTCATTGAATGAATAACCTTATCCATTATATAAACAATGTAAACACTGAATGTACCTCCATATCATATTTTTGAGAATACATTTGAGCCATTTTAACCCGTCTATGTCAAGAAAATATTGTAATAAAACTAATGAAAATAAGGGTTTTTTTAAGCATTGGCGTAGCATAATGTATACATGAAAGTACAGTCCCTTTTATTTACTTATTATAGGACCTTGGTGGGGACAGCAGTCATGGACAGAATGCCAAGTAGTGGTACCTGGGTTTACAGTATGAATAACACTATCCACCAGATAAACAATGGAAGCACGATATTTGCCCCCAAGTGATTTTCCCAGAGATTATTTGAAGCAATTTTAACTGTCTTTGTCAAGAAAATGTTATTTATATAACTCACAAATATAGCATCTAAATTTCAATTTGTTTTATTCAATACGCATAGGGCACAGGTCTTTGTGAACAGAATATGATAATACAGACAAGCTGTTAAACCTTGGATAAAACGTTTCTTTCAACATGATCATTATAAATGTATTTAGCTAAATTAACTACAGTGTCAGGATCTTGCGATTATAAAAGGAGGCTGAATTTGTGATAGTTTGGAAGGAAACAGAACTTGGTTTTAAAATAAGTTTGTCTCAAGTTATCAAACACGGGGCAGATAAATATAAAGTGATATTCCGTTTCAACACAGTTTAAGCTGCATGACTTACATTTATGAGATTTCGTGGAGTACTTGCATGCCGTCCACGTTCGATTTCTAAATCATGACAGCTTAATCGAAATCTGAAAATAGCAGTTTTTAGTTTAACTGACGGCACAAGTTTCAGATAGGTTTCATAATTTATAAAAGTTTTGAATTGTGCATAATAATGCATTTTTGATGACGAAAGTAGTTCACTATGCCATGTTTGCTGTAAGCTGTCTCTTTGATGAAACACTTTTAGAAAAAAAATTAAAAACACACATCGCCAAATCCTTCTTCACGGTTGCGAAGAGACTGAGTGTGGACTACAACAACTGAGGTCACTTTAAATCAGTAATTGTCAATGTCACTGCCACATCTTGACATTGTACGAGCGGTTGCGAAGAGACTGAGTGTGGACTACAACAACTGAGGTCACTTTAAATCAGTAATTGTCAATGTCACTGCCACATCTTGACATTGTACGAGCGGTTGCGAAGAGACTGAGTGTGGACTACAACAACTGAGGTCACTTTAAATCAGTAATTGTCAATGTCACTGCCACATCTTGACATTGTACGAGCGGTTGCGAAGAGACTGAGTGTGGACTACAACAACTGAGGTCACTTTAAATCAGTAATTGAAGAGACTGAGTGTGGACTACAACAACTGAGGTCACTTTAAATCAGTAATTGACAATGTCACTGCCACATCTCGACATTGTACGAGCGGTTGCGAAGAGACTGAGTGTGGACTACAACAACTGAGGTCACTTTAAATCAGTAATTGTCAATGTCACTGCCACATCTCGACATTGTACGAGCGGTTGCGAAGAGACTGAGTGTGGACTACAACAACTGAGGTCACTTTAAATCAGTAATTGTCAATGTCACTGCCACATCTTGACATTGTACGAGCGGTTGCGAAGAGACTGAGTGTGGACTACAACAACTGAGGTCACTTTAAATCAGTAATTGTCAATGTCACTGCCACATCTTGACATTGTACGAGCGGTTGCGAAGAGACTGAGTGTGGACTACAACAACTGAGGTCACTTTAAATCAGTAATTGTCAATGTCACTGCCACATCTTGACATTGTACGAGCGGTTGCGAAGAGACTGAGTGTGGACTACAACAACTGAGGTCACTTTAAATCAGTAATTGTCAATGTCACTGCCACATCTCGACATTGTACGAGCGCCTCAATAAAAGCATCGTCAGAAATGACACAAGCAATAGACACTAACGGTTGAACCCAGGTACATGTGTATTGTTACGATCGAATCAAATATTGGAAAGAGTGTATAAAATCCAACATTCGAACTTTGTAAAACACTTCAGATGAAACAAAAGACGAGAAACTCGTAAGGGTGCAGCATTTGACTCTGTGATATACTGTATACTGAAATATTTGACTGTGGTATACATCACGTCACAGAGTGATGAAGTGGCATCAAATGTTAAGCTGTGGTAATGTCACTGAATGTCCAACCCACCCTTTTAGTAGCTTTTCGTCAGGAGTTCTGTCTAAAATGTATTGCCACACTAGTTAATAATATTCCAGGAACTACCACACGGTATATCGAAGCGTTTTCGAAGTACATTCATCATTTGAAATTACCTACCGGTTGGGGTTGCGAAAGAAGTGCTTGCATATAATGGTTTATTTCTTGATGATGCGGTCATCAACAAACTCATGGCTTATCGTAGATTTGATATACCACTGGCAGGTCTAACTGAAATCAGGATTCTAAAATCTCACGAAATATGTTCATTCCACGCAGAAGTAAGCCAGTTATGTACAACGTTGGTTTTTTTTCCTTTGATGTGACAATTAATTTCAGACAAGAACACTTCAACTATCAACGGTCGAGTTTACCATTTGAACTGCAGCATGATAGATGTGATTGAACTGGAGCTCTCAGCTTCAACATATCATTTGGAGGAGTGACATCAAGCGGCAGGACACCATGGGCCGATAAGGGTATCGTGGCTGATCTATCTGTCACTTCAAGCGTTAGTGAGGGTGTTTTATGGTTTAACGCCGCTTTAAACAGTATTTCATTTATGTCATGGCGTGTCAGCTTGATGTGGGTGGAAAGCCCAAAGTTATGCAAGTCTCAGACATTCACTGCTATGGTGAAACACAGGAGAACACAGATATCGTGCTGACAAAACTAGAAGGATAATAAGGGCAAATATGGGATCAGAACACGTTGATTCAAGAACA